AAAATCAAAAACATCACCAGAAAACTTACTACATTTTAGTGAGTCACCCGCTGAACATATCTGTTTAAGAACTATAGCATGTACATGACAGATAACTGTTAGTTATGATTCCCACCAAATTCCTTTATTCCATGTTATTCTTTGAGCATAACCAACTGTTTAGCTAACAACTGGCTTGTACTGGAAGTATAAATTTGTTACAGAATCCAGTGTCCGATTCTATGAATTTGCGTAGAGAAGAATGGTGCCTCACTTATCAACCTCATCAAGACATTTTTTGCAAGCAGGTTCAAACAAACGACAACAATATTAGAATGACTTTAAAATGACAAATACGGCACAGTAAGACAATTTTCTCTCACCAAAACATATATAGATCAACAAAACAACTTAGAAGCTTGCATTAGTGCATCGACTCAAGTTATTACATCATAAAATAGTACACGAGGAGAAAACGAAAGACGTCCGGTAAAATAGATAAGGGCATGAGAATATACTAATATAATTAGACAAGTATGTCTGAATGTGCACCAGTCAACGAGTCCCTTACCTGCCCACCTCAGCAGACCAGACATGTATGAAACCTGTAACCCACTGGTTCAAAAATCTGAACGGCTAGGGTACAACAGTAAACAAAGACATCAGATGAAGGATATACCTCATCAAGTCTGGTTAATTTTTAGTGAGCAATCTGTAGGTCAATACTAAGAAGGAAAAAGAATTCGACATGCACAAAACAGGCACCAACCACACATGTCAGTAAGAATCAGCAAATGAAGCAATCTGAAACTCTCAAGTAAGTGAGTTCAAAACTAGAATGGACACGGTAAAAACAGAGACAGTTGAATGCCGCCAATATGTCAAGTTTCGGCCACATTAAGGTATATCAGAGTTCCACAATCTGTCGTAGGGTAAAAACATGATCGATCCAACCTCATCTAGTCCTGTCTGAAACCTCCCAGGTTTCATCCAGTTTGCTGTTCTCGTCCTCCAGTTAGGCGTCACATAACTATAGCTCCTAAGATCTCAGACACAATATACATCAAACTAGTTCCCCTACGGTTGTCACAAGAACATTTATTCCCCTTATTATAGACTGCGATGATCAGATAAGTGGATAAGTCTGACGGCACTACTTCTGATTCCTATACACCAACTAGTACCTCAATCACTTTATGCACCAATTTCTTACCTCCATCCTTGAAAATTTCAGGTACCAAACTGTCAGATCCTGTTGCTTTGCATCCTTTCACGTTCAATACACCATCCTCAACTTCAGGGAGAGTTGGAGGATCCACATTTATGACCTAACAGTCATTGAAGAGGGATACATGATCCTTCAACGATGGCTCATTACAACGTCATCTTACTGTGTCCATCTCCGCTTTGAAGTCGGCGGATGCCATGTAAGACAGTGTAGTGTCTCTCCTTACGCCTGAGGTTAATCCTGGTCAGAAACAATTGATTGTGTGAACAAAACCGCAACAGATGATGTTCATTCTTTCGGATGTATTTCCACAAATACCATCAACAAGCCTTTCTCATTGGCTTAACCTCTCCACTCGAGCGTTGAAGTCACCTGTCAACGTTGACACCTCCTCATAGAATTCATCATTTACATCGTCCGAACTGTAGTCAGTGTGTGCATAGACGGAGATTATGAATGGACACCAATTGGTCTTACGACCCTTCATAGTTCTCACAGATCCATTCAGTCAAACAACACACAAACGCCTGTTTACTAGTATCCAGTCGAGAAGCCCACTCTCTACTCTACAACTCAATTCTATGCAAACACCAGACAGTCCATGACATCCAGCCATTAGGTCTCCCGATGATACTCGTAAGATGAATCCTGAAGATTCACTAATATAACCAGGTGAAGTCAATTTAATTACCACACTCGGGTCTTCTTTACGTCTCTCACAGACAGCATACCATACATCCATGACTTCAGATCCCAGAGTTCCGATAAGCGGTGCTTGCTGTCCGATCTGGCGTAGAGTTCGGACGGTCAAAGCTCCTACATCAAATCCATGGAGGGGTCTTGAAAGACTAGGAATGAAGTTTCGATGACTTCGATCGTGCCCAATGATTGCAGAGTGAGAGGCTGGGAAAGGTGTAGGAGGCTTAATATTAGTACCACAAGGTGAAGGCAAAACAGAAAGCAGAGTTGAGGAGGATATATTATGTTTGATTGCGTCTTGTGTACTACTGGAAGCGTGCGGGCGGTCGACACTTCCTGGTTGCCAAAACCGTGAAAGGCTATTTCTTCCTAAGGTTCCTGAAAGAGGAAAAGATTTGTGTGACCCCACAGCTCATGGGACATTTGCTTGGAGCCTATCACACACAACCTTTTGAGAATTGTTGTTCTCAGATTTGGTTATTCTAACGTCAGCACCGGAAGACCGTGCAGCGGGGAGGATTGTGCTATTTTTGAGGTCGACACTTTGTAAACCCTTATTCCTCAAGTAAGATAGCATCAGCGTGACACCGATGGTTATCTAAGAGAAACACCTTACTACTGTCACACCCAGTCAGTCAGTCAGCCAGCCAGCGGTACTACTTCGCCCTCGGACCCCGATCATAGTGTAGTAATTTTATACTACAATGGTAACTGCTTTTCGTTTTATCAATATCCAACAGACCTTTCTGGAATGGTAGGATCTCGAGGGAACAAGCATTGCGACAGCATAGGTTGTTGGGTCGTCGTCATATCCAAGCCCGACCACCACATTAATGGTGGTTGATTTGCAGTATGCAAACGATATTGTCCTGCTAAGTGACAAAAAGCAAGGTATTCTGAACAACTTGGGCAGAAATCTAAGTATGTTTGGCATGCGTTTCGCAACTATCAAATGCAAGATGACGATGCTTCAAGACTGGTTTGCAGCTACTTCTAAATTGAGGATAGAGAATGAAGTGGTGGGATATACTTCACCTATTGGGGAGTTGCATCATCCCGAAAGGTTTGATTGCTCATGACGTCTTAGCTCAGATACGCCAAGCCCATTTATTATGTGACAACTTGCGTCGACTCGCAAAATATCCGACTAACTATCAAATGACGCGTATTCTGCACTGCAGTTCGTTATGTTTTGTTGAACGGTTGAAACATGGCCGTTAAAAGTAGAAGTGATTACAGGGTTTTGGTCACATACCTTTGTAGCATTGCTCGCACTTAGTGGAATCACCGTTTGAGCAATGTTGAGGTCAAGTGAAGGCTACTAGGTAAGTCGATTGATCAGATTGTGAACCTTAGTCGAGTGAGATGGCTTGGACATGCACTGCGCATGCCGTTCCACCGCCTACCCTGATGTGCCATGCTGAGGGAAGTTGGATTATGTTGGAAGATGGTTCAGGGTGACCAGACCGAGACGTGTCACTAGTCGATGATGTCTCTTACTGCTGGTCTGAGCCCTGTGGGGCGATGTAGACTGCTTGTTTGGGGTCTCCGAGAAGGTAGGAATCAGTGGTTGAGTACTCTTGGTGTCATGACTGAAAACTAATCAGAGTGGCGCAGATGAAGTCACTTGTTGACTTCTAAAGCTTGCACATTCGCACTGACCGTTTTCTTTAAATTGTTTACTCTCTCAAACAATTCCGTCTGGTTTTATATCACCCTTATTCTATCCACCTGTCTTTGTAAGCTACTGTGAAGTGTGTCAACTTGAACCGACACACCTGTATGCAAAGTTCTACGTCTATTTTGTCTGCCACCCAAAAAGAGATGAGTTACAAGATGTAAGTCAACTGTTCAAGCGTTATAGAGTGGAAAATGCAATAAACTTAGATCATACTGTGACCACCATGATAATAAGAGTGTTTACACTATAACAGGACGCTAAACATGATAACTGCATACCTAAGAATGATTCAAAACTGAGACGAGTTAGCTCTTAAGGGGTTTAGGTAACAATCTATTAAACAATATTTCTAACCGTTGTACAACTGTTTTGCTTATGTTTGTCGTCTTAAAAAAGTTTGAGACTGACCACAAGCATGCAGATCATACTACTATCTAAAGAGAATTGAGAGAAAATATTTGTCTGGATATGTTGACTAAGACTAGGATTTCTGACGTGACATGCTCCTCTAGGGTACAGGTCTGCGCGACACCAGTATGTGACACGTTACACATAGGAAACAAAAATAAAAGTAAGGGGGATCCAACGGTTGGCGAAATGATCTAAACGTGTGACAGCTGTGTGAAAACAGAAGTGATTAACATGAAGACTCGTAAAGATGATTCAGATATTCGTGAGAAAAAATTATGAGGAAGTTCTGAGACGTACTAGATACTAAGTAGAACATTATTAAAGTAAATTTTCTTTTCCTTATGAACCTTCTCGTTTAAAATTTATTTACACTGTATGTAGAAACTAATTGTTTCTTTGATATGGCACTAAAAACTTATGACTAACTAACAATCTATTTACCAACAGCTAATAACTCTTTCGATTATTCAATCCTTTTACTGTATTTAGTTGTGAAAACACTAGCACTTAACGAGATAGATCTCAACTTTCATTTGTTTGTCTTGTGTAAGAGTATGCTGACCTAAGTGTATGTTAGCTCCCATTTCGTAGTCACCTAAAAATGCGACCCCAAGTTTTCTTGAGAAAAAATCGTATTTTTCTAGATAAGCCAGAAGTTTGAACTACTAGTGTGAAATGGTTGTCTCAATACACTGGAAGTCACAAAACAATTTTGAAATAGGGTGAATAGACAGACAAACGACGCAAAACTAACACAAAATTGGGATGAAAAATGATGATAAAGAAATCAAAAAGTGCATGAGAAATCACATAAGAATTCCACACAATAATAAATAAACAAAGGAGATTTCTCTGTGTAAGTTCATTTACACTTCCAGGAACACTGAATGAAAACAGAAAACCCTCTTCGAAGTTACAATGGCGACGACTAAAAATGCAGGATACAGAAGTGAGAAACAAAAAGCACTAGACTTGACTTGAAAACTCCATGACTTCACTTACCAGAAATAGGTGAGCGATAATCCACTAGGTGGGGTTGTCTGATACGAAATAAGGCAAGAGCGACAACATGAGGACACCATGACAACCCCTTGTTACCACAGTCACAGCAGACAGATATTATTTTACATCTGGAAACGAAACATAAGATAAAACTGATACTACCTGTCAAATGTATAGAAACTTTGAATTTGCTTCTCTCTGCCTCGGAAATGCATGGAGAAGGCTGTTGCCTTACAGAACAGTTAAATGGAAACCTGAGGCTTAAAATTTTTTGAATGAAACGTACCAATTTGGATCACATCTTCTACACAACTATTCTGGAAAAACTCTAATCCCTGGTAATAGGGATCTTATCACGCGTCTTATCATTTTTTGAGTGAAATGAGGCGTAAGTGTAAATATCACTATCTCTTTGTGGGAACGAGTAGTAAATAATTTTTTCCTGTACAGGCTCTGGTATATGAACCATCATGCGCTCCACATATTCAAATGGTAGAAATTCCGCTACCACTTTGGAACTTAGGTCCAGAAGTGAACTAACTGCATTCTGTTTACTATGGATCTGTGAGAAATTGTTATCCAGCCGGCGGTGCTTAAACGATGATGGAAAGTCTGGAGCTGATATTTTGTGTTCATAACTGATGTACATATGTGGAACAGCACAAAGCAGAGTGGTATAACCAAGAAAACTACACTGCTTGGTAGCTGCTCGAAGCCGGCGCCCCTCAAGTCTTCGGGCAGCTGATTCGGGGAAGTAGCACAGAAAAACAAGTCACGGAAACAACTTTTGAGTTGGCAGTTTCATAGGTTATACTTGTCGCCATGTACACAAGATCTGAGGACGAAATACAGTTGTGATGTTTTCCCTAACATTATGTATTTTCTTGTGATTAATAATTATGGTTCAAATCAAGGAAGTCGACAGACTTTGAGCTCTCACTTCTAGGGTAAATAGAGTTTGTGGTTGAGTGTAGTGATTCTTCATCGTGGTGCGTTTAAAATTTGATCGGTTGCCCAAGAATATGGGATGCGTTGAGAAAACTAAGGGATTTTCATGGAGCATTTTTAACACAAAGCAGAATATCAATCAGTCGAAGTTCTAGGCATGATAACTGAGAGTGACATGGTACTGAAAGTTGGGAGGCGGGACACAACCATAGAAATTCGATGATTTTTGTAGCCTACTGCAGTCCTAAATGTTCTTTGGTTGACTTCATGCTCCATGACCTTCATCTTTGGCGCAGGTAATAAATAACTTATTTCTGATAGTCTTGTTGTACCTTTTACTATTTGGGCGATGATCGTGCCACTGTTAGCAAGCGTTTCCAAAACGACCTGCTGCCTAAAGTATCTCGGTGTGATTTCCTATTAGGTGCTGCATGAATGGAGTGTTTAGACCATGTTAAGGTCACCAACTTTAGATATATTCTTGAAGCAAGATCATGAATGTGGTTTTTTCATTTGCAATCTACCTCCTCAGGCAAACAGTGATGCCCTTGTGAAGACTTTAGATTGAATTAATTTTACTTAGACTTTGAATGGGCAATCGTTTGACAGACTGATGTTGTTAACTGTGGATGATGATTGTAGCCTCACACACTTCCCCAAAATCAATAGCCTAGGGTTTGACGCCTCTCGACATTGATGCTGACCTTGATAGTTTAACTGGACTCGCTGAGCTGAAGGCACCCGGTCAAGCATCCTCGCCATTTGGCACGCTGTCGTGTTACGTTGCAATGCTCGTATTCGACTCTCTAGCCAGTTAGTTGGAACGCATCGGTATTTCGGCACAACCATCCAAATATACTATTCCATCCGACACGCTGTCGTGTTCGTCCTTGGTCTCGTATTCGTGGGTATATAACAAGTCCGAATAATTAGTGATTGGTCTTTGCGTCTGTCAAGCTCGCACAGGACGAATCTTAAATTGGTGAGCCCGATGTGATCACATATTCCGACAATAACAAGTATTGAATTGGTGAGTCTGTTCCATTTATATTTGTATATTGTCTTCATCTCGATAACATTTACGATTTGACTACAACCTTATGCGGAATGAACATTTTCTCCAGAATCGACTTGGTCAAAGCGTACAACCAGATACCTATGGCAGCAGAAGATATCGCGAAAACAGCCATTATTACTCCTTTTGGCCTGTTTGAATTCCTGCGCATGCCATTTGGTCTTCGGAATGCAGCACAAACATTCCAACGCTTTATGGACGATGTCTTCCGTGGTCTGAATTTTGTTCATGTCTACATCGATGACTGTCTAATTGCGAGTCCAGATAAGGAAACACACCTTAAACATTTGGACCTCGCATTCGAAAGACTTAAAAAACATGGCATCACAGTCAACTTACAGAAGTGTGAAATAGGAGTTGAATCACTCAGCTTCCTTGGGCATACCATTGACAACAAAGGTATACGCCCATTGAGAGATAAAGTGGCGGCTATCACAAACTATCCAGAGCCGACCACTGTGAAACATCTCCGCACTTTCAATGGCCTGGTAAGTTATTACCGAAGGTTTATCCCTAACTGTGCCTCTGTCATGAGACCACTCACAGATCTACTTCGAGGAACTGCGAAGTTCGTGTCTCTGGACAGCGTGGCCAGGCTTGCTTTTTCTGAAGTCAAGGAAGCCATTTCGAACGCCACTATGCTTGTGCATCATGACCCCAATGCTCCTTTGAGTACTGCTGTTGATGCATCTGACTCAACAATTAGAGCAGTTTTGCAACATTTGACTGACAACCAGTGGCAACCGTTAGCCTTTTTCTTGAGGTGGCTGCAAGACGTGGAAACAAGATACAATACATTTGGTAGGGAACTTCTAGCCATGTACTGTTCTGTACGCCACTTTCGACATTCTGTGAAAGGTCGTGATTTCATTATTTTCACAGACCACAAACCGTTAACGTGTTCTCTCAGCTTGGCGTCTGACAAATACTCCCCTCGTGAGTCGCAACAGCTGGATTACATTTCCCAGTTCACGTCAGACATCCGCCACACTTCTGGGGCAAATAACTTCGTAGCCAACGCACTATCATGAATAGCTTCGATAAGTCATATCGAGGGCGATGATCTCGTTGAATAAGCTCGGCGTCAAAAGGAAGACCTTGAGCTGCATAATGAGTTGTCGTCCATAACTCTCAAGCTGAGACTTTGTCCGGTTGGATCAGACAAGGATACAATTTTGTGCGATGTCTCTGCTAGTCAACCACGCCAAATAGTTTCGAAGAGCTGTCGACACAACGTCTTCAATACGTTGCACAAAATCTCTCATCCAGGTGAACGAGCCACCATTAGGCTTATCGCACAACGTTTCTGCTGGCCTGGGTTGAACAAAGACCTTAAGGAGTGGGCTCAGTCGTGCTTAGTTTGTCAAAAGTGCAAAGTCACGAGACATATGAAAAGCCCTTTAGGCTCATTTCTAGCCCCAGACATGCGTTTCGACCACGTCCATATAGATATTGTAGGACCCCTACCAGAATCTAATGGATGTACCTACCTTTTCACTTGTGTTGATCGTTTCACACGATGGCCGGAAGCAGTACCCATTAAAGATATTACTGCTTAAACAGTAGCTCGTGTTTTCGTCGAAAGATGGATCGCGAACTTCGGATGTCCATCTCACGTCACAACCGACCGTGGGCGCCAATTCGAGTGTGGATTATTTCACGCTCTAACGGCACTTTTAGGTTGCACTCGGTTCCGAACGACAGCCTACCATCCACAAGCAAATGGCATGGTAGAGCGTTTCCATCGACAGCTGAAAGCTTCCCTTTCAGCTGCAAACATACCTCAGTGGACCGAGGCTCTGCCCCTGGTCCTACTAGGTATTCATAACGCGTTGAAAGTTGATGCTGGATGCACTCCTGCAGAACTCGTCCATGGGACCACTCTTCGCCTACCAGGTGAGTTTGTTTCTGCTTCAACTTTCAAACATCTTTCCGACAGGGCATCTTACGTGACTAGGCTTCCAAACGCAAAGCGTTCAGTTAGGGATTCTCCGGTTACACCACAAACGACTGATGTCTTCGTTCACCCCAGTTTACAAAAGACATCAAACGTGTTTATTCTTCACGACGCCGTTCGTCGACCACTTGAACCACCCTACGACAGGCCATTCAAAGTGACCAAGCGACACGAGAAATTCTACATAATTGAGCGAGGCGGACGTGAAGATACTATCAGTATCGACCGTTTGAAACCAGCTTATTTTGAAGGCAACCCCGTTATAAGTGACGTTTCAGCTCGCTACAGCCGACCGATGGATAGCTCAATTATCGAAATTCTTGACGATGTGCCTGGTAATGCACAGCTGCAACAACCATCGGCGCGACAGATAACACGACCAGGTAGAACCGTCAGGCTCCAGGAGTATTTAAAGTCATATTCAACTTAGTTGTATGGGATAAAATATGCCAACCACTTTTTTGTTTACAAATTCTTTTTTCGAGGCACTATTTTTCTTATTAACCGGCAATGCACAAATCCCCGTACATTTTGCCTTTTTATGTCAGGACAAATCCTAAATGATGAAGAGTGAAATGAACACGTGTGTTGCGGTAGGAGTCAAACCCACTGTCTGCAGGTTGATGTCCTAAAGCTTTATCGAATGAACCACGAGACCCAACAATTGATCGGGTATAGGATACTTGTGTCTTTCGAGAGGCAGTGTAGTCTTACCACGATTAAGCACTTCAGCCCCTACTTTTGCAACAATGTAACACATTTTCATGACAATGACTGGCAAACAGCGGATGTACAAAAGACTGCTATTTTAAGGTTTGTTCTCACGTCGGGCTCATCAACTTGGGAACTGTCCTGGCGCGAACTTGACGGACGAAAAGGCCAACCACTAATTATTCATACTTGTAATGTACCCACGAATACGAGACCAAGAAGGAACACAATGGCGTAAACGGATGGAATAGTACATTTATGAGATACTGCCAAAGGGTCAATGCGTTCCGACTAACTGGCTAGAGGGTCGATTACGAGTGCCGAATGGCCTGGATGCTTGACCGGGTGCTTTCAGCTTAGCGAGCCCAGTTAAACTATGAAGGTTAGCATCTACGTTGAATTTCGTCGAACCCTAGGCTATTGATTCTAGAGGAGTGCGTGACACTACACTATCGTCAAGATTTTCAGGCTGGTATGTACTTTAGTGCTTGTGACCTCCTGTTTCATGACGCTGACACAAGCTGAGTGTAATAAACTCAGTAAGTACTGTTGCAAGTGATGCTGATGCTTTTGCAGATTTGAATTGGAACATATTCTTTGAACGAATATCACATCTTTGATAACTGCCCATAAGAAGGAGAGTGGAGAACTGAGAGACTAAAGAGCAATATTTCACGAAAAGGAATCTGGAGTTCAGAATTGGGCAGATGCGCGGATTGCTCAAGTCATCAGGCAACAATAGGGACCACTTTGTCTTGAGACACGGTGCACCTCAGTGATACAATAATGGCCATATTTATGCAGCACTTTGGCAAGATTTTACGGTTAGCGGACGAGACAGAAGATCCAACGGTAATATCGAGTAAGGAAGTCCAAGCTGGGTTATGGGCATTCACTGTACACCAAAAAAGTTGCGTTTCACTCATGGCTGAGTCTTTTGAACCTGGTAAGGCGTGAAGCCCCATGAACGGGCCCAAACATGCTGATATGGATACAAGAGAGACCAAGACTTGGGTTGCCGTAAGACCGAGTGGATTACGGACGATGATAACCGCTTATAGGCTTATAGAACAGGGGAACAAATTGCCTGCATATGAGGCTGTAGTAAATGAAAGCCTAAGGCTCCAAGAAAATCCATGAGGTTATCAGGTGAAAGAAATATTACGGCTGCGGATGACTCTGCGATCATTGCGAGTCACCCAACTTCGGGGGGGGGAGAAGAATCTGACAGCATAAGGGACTCTGGACGTATTAGCAACCGACGGTGTCCACCACAAGTACCGTGGTTGGGGAACCTTAAAGAAAACAGCGAGTTTTACGGTAATTATTTGCACAGACCATTTTGGGGATGACAACTCCAGACCAAGGCTGACCCAAACAGTCTCAACAACCTTCCAAACGGCGGTACTCATATTGCAAGTATTCCGGACAAACAGGCGTCGATTACCAACTGAAGCCTACGTGCCTCCTGATAGGTCGTGTAATAAGCGGCTTAAACAGAAGCAGAAAGACTTGAACTGGTTGCGCCTATCATGTCTGGTCTTAAAGCTAAAATACGGAGAAGGGGGGCACTTCATTGGTAAACCGTGCTTTGGCATGTTTCCATCCCCTTAGGTAATGATTTAGCCAACAAACTGGACATTAGCGAAGTCTTAGGAAGTGAATTCAAGGTGGGGAGAACAAACGGCTTCATATAAATGCGATATAAATACGGTAATCTGTGGGGGACAACACGAGTACCCATCTTATTGGTGTAAGTGGGACACGAGAATTCTACTGAAATTTTGAGTCAACACGAGGCTTTGTGACTATAAAAAAGATGATGGGGTCAGTAAGGTGTCACTTTAAGTCGGTTCGTATCTTATGTCCCAACAAATCCAAATTCATGATTTGGCCCGCCTTGAAGGGTCGATTTGGTGCTCCACACCGCTGTTCGAGACCACTAAGTATGTAGTAGGGGGCAGTTGTAGGAACCTAAATATAGATATCGAGTAAAGTGACAATGTTGTGGGAAACCAATCTGAGTCTTAAAATGGGTTGTACATGCAATCCTATTCTTGGTGATTTCGAGCGACCTATGGCTAGCTTTTTAGATCATACATTCAATGGAAGTGATGACTCCACTGAAGCCTTAGTCTAACAACTTGTTGAGATACTGAGACTGGTGCAGATGTGAGATAATCAGTGCGGTGAAGAAATACTGAAACTTCACCTCCTTTTAAGTGTATCATCAAAAGCAGAGTTCCCGACGGATGATCCTCAATCTTTTGGGAAGGAGTGGTCTCATCATTATCAGCTTTCAGAGGGTTTTAAAAGTAGAAAAACCACGGCACTGCAGCGAATGTAGTCGGGATATCGGGGGGATCAACAAGGCAACCATCCAGGTGAGAGTGGGACAAACAGACGGTGAGGCTTAGGTTGCATCATGGGAAATGAAGAACCATCGGAGACTTATGCTGCACAAAACTATGCATCCCATAAGCCACTCGGACCCACTTTCAAAAGTGAAGTGTTCCAGGTCGCCTAAAGTGGTAAGCAGCTCCACTCAAAAACGGCTAGTGACATCACCAGGCAAAACATCAAACTAATATTAAGAAACACACATGCAGACTGGTTGAATGGACAACAAACGGATAAACCAAGGCAATGAGAAAAGGAGGGAGGCAGCATGAAGTTGGCCCGATAAACATGTTTGTTTCCAACCCGGGAAGTTTTTCCCGTTATTCTGCTTCTCGGCGGTAGACCAAGGCGGGAGTCTGTCAACCGGTAGTGCTCAGTGCTCCGATCTCTTGCTGATCGATAGCTGCAAATATTTTCGTCATAAGCCGCCTATTGAGGAGCTTAAGAATATCCCGCTAATTAGGCTGGACTCTTGGACGTCTAGATTTTGTTGGGACCATTGGCGCCTTAGTGCCAAGGTGAAAAAGTGTACTAGACCGTGTACTTTTTACTCTAAGCAGTCGGGAAACGTACAAGCCAATGCGTCGTGGCGACTTACATCGCTGACGAACCCCCAGCTCGTCGCCTTTTCCACGTAACCGATCGCCGTTCAGGGATAAGCTTCCTGGTAGATGCTGGGGTGGAAGCCGGTGTAATCCCACCCACTACCGAGCACCGGCTCCGGTCGACTTCCCCACAACTCCGCGCTGTTAACGGCTCGCTTATCGTGAAGTACGACCCAAACTGTGAAGTTACTCTACCGCAAACCTGGGTTACGCCGTTCTTTTTGTCAGGCCTTCACTACTGCCTATGTGACCGCCGGAATAATCGGTACATATCTACTGCACCACTTAGTTAGTGGTAGGTACAGGTAGGTGTAAGTCGATCAATTCTACCAGAGGGCTCTCGGTTTTTGGCGCTGTCACCAGTGCCCTAACTGTGAGCCTATCTTTTTCCAGCCTTGATATCCCCCAATCCTACAGCTCCATCACTCAGTGATTTCCCGACATTTTCAAGCTAGCAGCCGGCGTGCCTTGTTTAACATCTCGAATTTCGCACCACACGATCACAAGTTGGGTGCTGGCTGATGTTAATTGGCGTAAGGTTGGTCAAGTGTTGAGTAACTGTTACACAAACTGACAACCTTGCCCTTTCCTCTACTAATTCGATGTGATCCATGTTATCAGCCTCCTAAATTCAATTCCATCCTCCCTATATCCATCTTACTAGTAATCACCGAGGATCTGTTTCTAAGTCTGGGGACCTATGAACGCAAACGCTAGCTGGATGTTACACAGCATTTGACCGAATCTCCCGAAAAAAATACTCGGTGTTACTGCTTCAATTCTCTCTTTATAGCGTTGCCGAAATTCTTAAAACGTTGTCATCAGAAAGAGTTGTCCTTTTTCACTCGTCGCTACTTGTCATATCTTTGTAATTATTACCTAGTATTGTAAGGTAGACCAGTCGAAAAAATAAACCGGCCGTGATTTTTATTTCAGGCCGAACTCCAGCGTGTACGGGCTGGCTACTGAGACAGTGGAATCCACCAACCAGTCAGAAGCCGATGAAGAATACAGAGTTTCTCGACCTAAGCGGCGGCTCTTGCTAGTGCGAGCACTTGTGCGGAGGGTTGCCAGCATGCGGTTTTCTCCCTCTTTCAGTTTTCATCCCGTTCAACTTTCCCATAGAATGAACTGAATTGCACCTACACGTGTGTGCGTGGGGACGCTTGGACTTCAGGCGCCATCACTTGAAAGTCTCTTAGTTTCTCGATGAATGGAAAGGGCGATGAAGTAACAAACGCTGTAACGTAACGTCAAAAACACATGCCAAATACGGAAATTTATGTATATCTACAGTGTCCTTGGCTACTTCCAGGCCCTCCTAAAATAATCTATGATCTTACTGATTTTTTCGTTCAACCGATCTGAAACTTACACGCTGGTTCATGTGCTTACTCTCTAAACCCCTCAGTGAAACGATTGGTTCTAAAAGGCTTCACTGGCTCACTGCTTTTGGCAATCCCACTCCACGCCACAACACCCTAGAGATTTTCTGTCCGATACGCGTGAACCCCAGCTATTCGTATTCGAATCATTATAAGAAATTTGGAAGCTGAGTAACGACGTGAGTGAAGTCTAGTTTGGGTGGAGTCAAACAACCTGCATGGTATCTCATAAAGAGATCATCTGGCAACATCCCTCTCTGCCTTCCAGTGACAAGTGCATGCTGAATGTCTCCTCACTTGTCCACCTCCTGGGTGATGACACCAATGCACAGAGGGTGTCTAACTGGAAGGATGGCTTCAAAGCCTTTTTAAGTGACAGGCTGCAAGCAGAACTCTGGCCATCACAGAATGACTCAGTAAGGAGCAAAATTATGTGAACTACGACGAATAAAGCAAGGGTGGCTTAGTCGGGAAAATCATGTGAATATGTAGCGCCCAGTAAACTTGGTTATGAGTTTCTATCTTTGTAGGCCTTGTATCCAACCAATGACCTCTTTTGGATGATTAAAAAACTTTATTAATGATAATAAATATTTCGTACAACTTAAGTTACGTGAAAACAAACCAGTTTACAGGTTTGATCGTTTTGGTAGTGTGAGCTGACTGTTATGTACAGTGCCTAGCTATATAATAGACACCGTTTTTCCTGGTACATAAAAGATGCGTCTCGAGAAAGAACGTTAATGTTTTGCAGACAGCAAAGAATGAAACAGATAAACAGCAGCATAATTGCTCATCACACTGAAGCAAGCTCAGTTCGGAAGTTGCGATTATTCGGCTATTGTTTGAATCTTCTAATATTCGTGAAGGTAGGGCGGATGGTACAACCGCGACCTTGAATTGTATGTGTTCGTCATAAGCTTCGATGGTATTGTGCACGCTGACAGATCAGATCACTAGGATTCCATATGGATTAAGGACTGGCTGGGTAAACCGAAAAATGAGTAACAGGAGCAGCGGCAGGCAAAATTCTAAACAGGAGCATGGAAATACTACGCAGAAGTGCATCCACCATGACACATGTGGATGAGTTCATTGTACTGACTACAAGAGTTACTTAAAGGGGTATCCAAAACCTACTGTTCAGAGGTAAACTTATGGGGAATAAAATGAAGGTGCATACGAAAGTGGTGGAAACTAAGCTGAAGCCGAAGATATTGCCATGGAATAGACAGAATAGAGGATTTTGAACCAGATGTTCGCTTATGTGTAGGAAACCTGTGTACAAAAGTTTAATGAAGTTATAAACATTTAAATAAAACTCATGCGTTAATGTGCTCATTCAAGTTTACCCGCTCCACCTACCCACCAATGTGACTGAAATAAACGCATTGTGCTACTATCACTGCTCTCTTGCTTGCAACGTTGTGGCTGTATAAAGTATATAGTTCTAGGGGGTAACCGTGAGCGCTGGGTTCAACTAGTAAGAGCTAAGTAACTATGCCATTGCCAGTATCCATGGGGACAACCTCGGTCTCGACCTTTTGGGGTCCAACACAACGGCCGTAATTACAAGGGAATAACGCCGAAAGGAAACGCCTCCCAAACTTCAACTGGGCAAGTAGCTTACTGCTTTGAGGCCAAATCTTTCCCAACGGTCTTCATAGTATACTTTGGAGTGAATTTTTAGGTGATACGCTTGGTAGTGCCTCAAATGGTCAAAATGCAGGAAGCTATCCGAAAACGTATGCGGAACGGGAAGGAAATCAACTGCGGAAACGAACTGGAAAGCATTTTGATGGACCAAAGCCCCTGATCTGTCTACTTTGAGCTGTTAGAAAGCGGGAGATCTTCATTACGGGCTGTGAGATCATGCACCGAGTAAGTCATGTGAGCAAGGATGACTTGCTAGCAACGTGCTGATCACTATAAGGCCATTTCACTAGGATTACAGATTATGGAGGCAAAGCCAGGCACGGCGAAAGCTTCTCTTCCTTAAGAGGGTGTGACTTACGGAGCGCTATACGTGTGACGCAGCTACGGTACCTCTAGTAACACCTTCACAAAAACGGTTGAACAAGCACACCAAATCCCCTAATCTACCAGCAACGTGTGAAAAGCATTACTGACTCTATTACAGACCCAGGATATCCTGTCTACCTCTTCGTCATCATATTATTGTCATTTTGTTTATCCGTTACAGCTTGTTTTGGCTTATCCAGTCTATCCTCCAACTCTTCCCCGTTAAATATGCTAACCACTTTCTTTGACTAGTCTTTGTGTACTTAACTTATCCTCAGTCTTTTATTCCCACTCAAATGGGTTCAGAAATTTAGTAGTGATAGTAATGATATATTTCATACAATAGGCCATATAAAAACAAACTAGTTTACAGGTATGATCACTGTCAATATGAGCTAATCTTTAAGTACAGTAACAATCAATGCATCAGGCATCGTTATTCAGTTGGGTATAATGTAAATGATTAAATTACCACCTTCGCCATTGTGTAAGTTATAAACATTCGTTGTACATCATAAGTTACGCTAAAGTAAACCAGTTTGCAGATACGGTAAGTTCGGTAATATGGATTTACTGTTATTACCGATAAAACTCAATACATTAGAAATCATTACGTGAGGCACATAAGAGATGAGTTTAAAGAAAGAACGTTAATATTTGCAAACAACAGAAATAAAATTGCCAAATATAAACACAGTTTTTTGGCAGATTAAAACGAGTTTGGGAATTATATAGCCATTTTTTGAACCATCGAATATCCTGAAGGTAGGTATGTGAACAAGACACTTAAAATGAATAATTGTCCAGTAAAGTTCATTTGTGAAATAGAAAATAACATTTAATTAGACTGTGGAGCTACTTCCAATAGTCATCACTTAAAGATTACACACCGACTGAAATGGGGATAGTGCTATAAAACACAATATCGGGCTGCTCTGCAGAACATTAAACACATCGCGGAGCACCTCAACTCGTTTAAAGGGCGAGATTTCCGTAGATTTGCAACTTACTAGCGTCTATAAAATAAAATGCTGGGACTGCGATGCAATATACACAGGAAAAACTCCCCGCGAAATCAAAATTAGAAAAAATAAACATCGAAGAGCTTTCACCCAACCCCCCCAGAGATCCAGTGAAACTGAAAAATTTGAAAACAAATTGGTAATAGCTCCACACGCAAGGCCAGTTTTGGCAGTATAGAAATTAATCAGGAAGGTTCTAGAAATTATAAAGAACGTCTCATTGTGCAATCAAAATTTTATCAACCCGCCTCTACGTACTGACGTAACCGACGTACATGTGACATATCTATACATAGAAACCTCAATCTTTAATTCATGCACTCTTCACGCACAACACTACCTATGGGTGTCATTTTCATCCGACAGTTCTGGCAAGGCAGAACCACTTATTCAGAACGCTTGGCAAACTATTATTTATAATCTCCGATATAGTAAATTTCGGTTTATTATCCTTTTGAAAAGGCTATTGGCACCACAAAGCTAGGCGTCAGTTGAGACGAATTATTTTGTTTTACATTCATTGGGGAATACGAAAACAAAAGTAGTGAATATTAATTACCTGATGCCAGAATTATTTCAAGCCACCAAATTTCAGGTTGGATTGGATATCTATAAATATTAGTTTCCTAAACTAGCGTTACTGGTGTTGAACAGGTGTCTGATCTGTTTCTAACGCATGGGAACCGACTTATGCCTTAAGAAGAAGCGCTCCCCTGTTTCCTGAACTAGCACTTTTAGCGAACCCCAATGGTTCAGGTTTCACCTGCTTTATCGGCTTCTTATTGTCTTCTTTCGGGGCTAGTTTTGGGATTTTGTTTCATTTTTTGGACCATTTTCAATCAATAATGGTTAACCAGAAGATAGCGTTGGTGGTTTTCCATGCAACCTGGCACTCTACTGTACGAATTGGAAGTTACATTGGTCCGCATATCGTGGCACTTTATTCCGACATTCTGTGCGGTTTAGGCGATCTCCCATCTGTACGGAAGAAGAAAAATTCCAAGCACATATTGCACCTTTTTCTCAGAAACTCAACCTCCTGAGGATCATACTCCTATTAGAGAAGGCTAACGAATACCACCTTCAGAGACACCCATTTGGATAAAGACAGCGGCACGAAAGAAACTACCGCTGAGAAACTGGAGGAACCAAAACGCGGAATGACCTAAGGAGGGGTTATTGTCTGTCACACTTTGTTTAGTCACGAACCAACGGTGTTAACTCCGAGGCATTATAGTTTCGCAACACAATTTGCCTAAAATATGAAGAGACATTGCTAGTGACTGTCATATTTGTTGCATTGGTTACCGCTAAACCTTTTGTAACTGCTGTCTATGTTACCTGTTTCTCAGTATGTGCATATCGAAGCTATTACTGCTAATCAGATGCAGAACAAAGTCTCCACCCTTAAGCGTTCGTAATACAGCTGAAACTAGGATGCGAGAAAGGTAATACAAAAAACTTAAAAGGTATTCTACGCTTAGAATACCAAACTATATAGCCCCTCACTCCTCGTGTCTCCTTCAGATACTCTAGTCTTCAATATCGTCTCCCCAAATTCTAAGATAACTAGCTCCCCTTCTCATGTATCTGTGTTTCTCTTTTTCATCCGACATCCAGGTTATTATGGTGGATCGTATCGACCTACACTGGGCGTCGAGATACACTTCGGACATCTATTCAACACGAGAGAACTATCATCCTTAACCACGTCGAGATGCAAAGTCACTAGGAGGTAGACAACTCACCCAAACTACAACCTCTCCAGAATTCATGGCTTCAACTGGGAGAGCAACTAGAAATATTGGTAATGAATGCTGTTTGCCTCTGAGCATGCAGGCTCTTCCACTCCTGACAACCACTCAACCAGAAACGAAGCGAACCTGAAGTGACCTCATGAAATGCACCAACCTTGAAGGCCTATTGAATAGTTTCAGATTGAAACCCTATATGTTCCCCACCGTGGTGTGGCAATGGTAGCTGTAGAGAATCACATCTTTGGCTCAATTTATTCAACTGACCCTGTTTGCAACATTATAGGTGTAAACAATTGCGACACTGCATGACACCGTGCAACACCAGACCCAAATCGCCCCCGCCGCCCTCCCAGTATTTGACTTTAGTTTCGCTTGTCACCTGTAGATGGCACAGGTTTGTCGAACACCGTCATACCTTCAGCTCCATTTGTTCTCAACATTCGACATGAAATACACTCTTGACTCACTATAGCAAAGATACTTCTCATACTGAGTGGTTATACCCTCATCAATTTTCACCACTGTTGTTTAACGACATCGCTTTTATCCAATACTTGTGACCAGTAATATCTAAACAAACGTTTACCCCGAAGACTCTGCATGGTATGATGGTCTGTTTCTTTCTAAACTTTTTTAGCTTCAATGGGTTATTAACATTTAGAGACCATCTGTAAAAACGGCACGTGTTTGTGCAGTTCATTACCCGAAATATATACTATTATTATGTGGTGTGATGGCTGGCACCATGATTTCTGTACAGACAGGACCCAAGTACAGTACATCACACTCAACAGATCTGGGTGTAAGTGATACCGTAGGCTGTTCATGGTGTAGGTCGAGGATATCCTTGAGGAGTTCGCCAATGTTAACAGAAGGTTGCTGGCCGGATGAAAGAAGGCCAATAGAAAACCGACAAAAGGCCACCGCTGACTGGAACTTGATACCACTTACCGTCAGGAAAATGGAAGAGCCGTGTAGGCCAGTGGTTTGAGAGAAAAGATTTGTTTGCTCAACTAACCACAGCTAACGTCTCCAATGTCGTCAAAGCCTTCGGCATGTTGCTCCTACTTAGCAATGAATTGTGAAAGGTGACAGTTCCACCTGCGGAGGCTACCTCAAACCGGACACTCATGATTCGAAAGAAAAACTCTGAGAACGCACCGCTAACCATTCAAGTTATTGATGCCGAAGAAGAGCCAAGAGTTCTCCAGGACGTAACACATTTGAAGCGCACAAGGGTCAAAGATGTGCCGGGTGAGAGTCGGAGTGACTTCTTTCAGGGTAGGAAGCTGACAATCTGGAGGGGGTACCTGAAAACGTGGAGTCGCTAGCACCTCACCACGACAACCACGAGTAAAGACTCTTCGGAAGTTGTATGGGCTTGGGAGGAGTAATCGCACTGAAGCTAGCAAGTTTGGCCTCAGATCTTTGCCAGTCAAACCTGGCGTGCCATTTCCCCGGACAGTGGCAGCTATACTGCAACCTTTCCGAGTCGGCAGACATCGTTTACCACCTGAATTTCATGCGCATCCAAAATGGTCCCGAAATGAAGGCTTCAAGAGTGACGTGAACAATCGGCAGCCAGTTGAATAGTTGGCAGGTTAGCCAACACCAGGAAGCGGGAATGGGATGTGAGTCTGTCCACCAATGGATTGCAACTAAACCACCAGGCAGCCATTAGTTTCGCTCTTCGACACGCAACACTGGACACTAGCGAGACGTCTCTAACTGTACTTCAGTTAGAGAGCACTGACCGCATCCACGCAAATTCATTAAGACTACTTGACAAAATCGACGAGCTGTTAGAATTAGGTAGTTTTTTAGATGCTCATCTATTTGGTGCGGGACGTGGGTCTCCCCAAGTCTCAGATCAAGAAATTGCTGTTCCACACACCTTGTTGTTCAGCAGCGACAGAATTAATGGAAAAGGAGGTGGGAAGGCCGTCTACATTACTTCTCCTCTCGCAGCTAATCGGGCCAACGACCAAGAATTCGATTTCAGTCCTCCAAAAGTCGATTTCGTATGCCACGCATGAGCTGGGGGCGAAGCTGGATTCTTCAGTCTCACTGAGGAACTTGGATGAAGCAAAAATGTGAAGTCAGCAACTGGATGGGGAAACAATCAAGCACCTTTCCGTGGAATCCATTCTCATCAACGACAACTTCCCGGTGGATAACCAGCAATACTCCATCCAAGGGGTGAGAATGATCACGTCGTTGCCAGGTTTCAGTGAGTCTGCTGTGCAGAGCTGACTTGCCCTGTAAACCAACGTCGCCGTAACTTCCGGCGAACAGACGTTGTAGCCCTTCAAATGGCTTTGGCAGAAACAGACTGGGAAATTAACCGTGGTTGGCACGCAATAAATAGTCATTGGATATTCAAACGTGACCAAAGCATGTGCTGTGAGTGAATCAACCCCACTTTGCCCCCGTAATGTTGTAAACAACCCAAGGTATTGCGCAACCACACCTCAGCCCCCTGAGGTGAGAAAGGCATCACTAGGTCATACGTGTGGAAAATGGCTGGGAATCCGCCTACGAGCGGTTCAAGCAGAGGAAAAATCTTTGAAGTAGGGTCCTGAGAGATAACAAACATGGGTAGCAATTTCGGCTCAGAAATATGGTTGCCTCAAATCCAAAAAACCTTCTTCGCCACTCGGCCAAGATGGGAGTTTCTCACTTGGCCGGCCCTTGAGGGGTGACCAACAATGGCACCAGAGAAGCAGGCACCTAAGTTGACCAATATTTACACCCCTCGTCATCGACTGCATTCACAAATTCCAAAGGATGTCCCACAGAAACAGCACGACCATCAGCCGATGGTCTCAGTGTCGGTCGGGTGTATTGTTTCCTAATAGTCTTAAGAAGAGGCACATCCCCTCGTTGCGACAAAATCAACAAAAGCACACAAGCGTATCCTTCACACCGCAGGTATACCCCCCCCCTGTTGTCTGACCCAAATCATCATGCAAATTAAGCTTAGAACGTATCCAGAGGCAGTTGAATAAAGTGGTTCGAGGACCTGAGTCCGAAACATATGAAGAGCGACCGGTTGCGTCTGCCCTATAGAAGGATGAGGGTCTTCATAATGGCTCACAATATCTTGAACACCGCTGGAAACCCAAGCCATCAATCGCTGAACATTAGTTTTGGAACCGATCTTAAAGGACATGTGCGGAAACTAGGCATAACACACAGTAGGTTAGATATCACAGACAGCCTGAACTCCCTACAAGTTTGTCACCCTTGAGTACTCCGAGTGTGATCCGGACTACTTTTAAAAGCCGGCTTGGTAGTTATCTAAGATGTGGGTGGGGTCTGATCAGAACTAATTGAATTTTTGCGTATTTTAACGACCATTTTTCACTTTCTCTTTACTTGGACACTGATTAAACCCCTCGAGAAGTAGGGACCCACGGATTCTAGACGCAGAAGCCAGTTAAATGAAAGCTCCTATTTCATCAACAACTATTTGAAATCAGAATACTCTTGGGTGCAGTCTCAATGTTCGAATTAATGTACGCTAGTAAAAATTTCTCAATCAATGTCCAGTCTTAATACCTAAATACCTCAAAAAGCCTGAATTTGGTTATTATTTATGTAGTGTTTCAGTACACCAATGAGAAGAAGTCCGTCAGGGTCGAATGTTCGGAACTGTTAACTCAGGTGGCAGATATTGCTTTTGACCATATAACTGAAGAAGTCAGAGGTACAGTATATCCTGGTAAGCTCAGACACAGGGAGGATGAGTTTATGTATAAAAATGAAAAGACTGGGAAAGTGGATCACTTTTCGCCATCAGACATAGAATCAGCTCAGTGGATTGCCCGTGCAACTGGGTTAGGTCAGCGCATTAAATTGAAAAACAACTCTTTGCATCGATATGATGGGTTCGGTAAAACAGAAGATGAAAAGATAGGGGTTTTTTCAGGAAGTACTTTTGCGTTGAGATTGCGAAACGTGAATTATGCTATAAAGGTTACAACTGGGGTGATGTCGAGTTTGATGGTAAGTACAGTTTGCATAATTTATTTAAAAAGGTGATGTTCTTGAGTTTTCGGTAAAAAATGCAATGGCTCTCGAGGTCCCACTAAGCAATGTTGAAAATACCACTATGAATAAAAATGGAGTTATTTTTGAATTTCTCCCGAATGACGAGGTGGAGATTTGCCTGTCGGAAATGCGCTTATATACACCTGGAAATGAAGCTAACAGGCAAGGAAAAGCACCAATTATTTATTCCGGGGTTACTCAGAAGGCAGATATCATTCGGGTAAACCATTTCATTACTTACGTTAATCCAGGTTACAGGTGACTTCCTGATTGAATTCAAGCAGTTACAATGTCTTCAACCTCGTGGTCGCTATGTTGTTGAGTTGTACCCAAGTTTTATCCACTTACACGGGAAGTCATTCGATCTTAAGGTTCCGAAAAATACTATTACCGTTTAATGATGCTCCCTCATTCAGACGGTCGGCAGATTTTTTTTGTCGTCCAACTTGACCCACCAATTAAACATGGTCAAACAAGATACCACTTTAATATTTTTCTTTTTGACAAAGATTCCCATGTTGATTCAGAAATGACTGCGACAGAAAAGTGGCTTCAACAGCAGTTTAATGGGAAACTAACTCGAAATATTTCTGGACCCGAATATGAAGTAGTTGCCTGTGTGTTTAAGGTAAGTAATATTATTTTGATGTTGATTCAAGATGATCATTCACCAGAGATCCTTCTTATGCTAGGGTGTCCTTGATTTCTACTTGACTGATTTGCTGTACAGTTTGTTCATCCTGCCTAACGTTTATCTAGCATTCAGATAATTCTGTGCTTACCAGTTTGTGTCAATGTCAGGACAACTAAAGGAAAATGTTCATGTTCTAGCGGATTAACAATAGTTTGTAAAATTACTTGTGGGTATTTAAAAGCTCTTACCAACTTAGCTCATATAAATTATACAGCAGCGCTGGTTGCTGACTATTGTTTTCTTACCAACATAGGATCTTATAGTGGAGATGGTTGCCAGGGTTGTGTAGAACTATGAGTAATGTTTTATCCATAAGGTCCCTAGCTATCATTTCCCACATCTGTAAAGCAAGTAACTAGGAGAAATTTAATAATTGTTTGCTTGACGTTCTACAGTCTGCTGTGTCTGCATCACTGTTTCTGAGTATCACTCAGAATAAATTTTAAGAAAACTTGAGTGGTGGGTATCCACAAAAAATTCTGAAGGGAATAGTGGTAGTAGTTAAATGATTGTTACCAAATATTAAGGAAGACAATTATGGGTGGTTTGAAAACGAAGAGTATTTTAGAACAAGTCGAATGTCACTGGTATTTGAGTTGTAACCTTATAATGCCATCAGGTGGGACAAAACTCCCAGCTGCAAGTAATATTGTATCAGGAAACTACTGGGAAATAGGTACCCTTTATCGACTTGCAGTGGCATCATGGAGGCAATGTTTGATTTCTCAATAATTCCTCAACTAACAATGCACTTAATTTAGCTGTCTTGTGGCAGTAAATACAAGTATTGTGGAAGTAAATTAAACTTTTCTTCTAAATATTTTATCTTCAGGGTCTGGATACTTTTTGGTTACATAGGTTGTTTCCTATACAGGGCGCTATGTTGTTGCGAACAAAAGCCTTATTCCTTAACACAAATCAGTTAAAAGTTTTATAGATTTGTTAGCTACCCGTGAAATGATTAGCTCACTTTAAGATAGTCTGGTAGTCGTATAACAGTTTCGTATAGTTTTACTGACAGTTATAATACAAGCATGTCACCCATCCATCTCCACTCCCATTGTTAATAATATCATAACTTTTGGTCGGTCTTCTATATACTGAACTATCAATCAACAGGCCATCTTCATACTCCGTTCTATCTACCACGATATAAAAGTCTTTTCAGTATTGCTAATTGTCACACAAGAGGGTACAACTCATGCATATATAGTTGCTGGTGTGCATACATCACTATGTTACATTCTTAACTCCTGACCATCCTCACTGTTTTGCCAGAGAGGTAACTGGTTAGTCCTCAAATCTATTAGGCAGAGGTGACCATACTATCAACTAAAACATCTCTCGCTAAATTTAATTTTGTACTCTAGAAATTTCTTCTTTGAAAGGTGGAGATTCTGTAGGCATTATCATTCAACGTCGGAAACTTTGCATTTTAAAGTTTATTCACGTAATTATCGAACTCATATCTGCATTAATCACCTTTATGGACCACTTCTCCACTCACTTCTAATTCACCGTGAGTTTTATGACTTTTAGCATCCTTTTTGGGATCTTGTGATTGAATGGGGCTTGGGGTGCTGGTCGTTCTCATAAGACAATTTTGTAATCCTGAGATAGAATAGTGATATTTAGAGTGGACGGTTGGATGAAAGCAAAAATACTATTCAGGTGTAAAAACCCCTGGTATGTATAAGAAACTTGAGTCAGACAACATGGTAATCAGCAGTTATCTGAGGTGTTCAGACCTCTAGGTATTTAACAGCTCACTTCTTAAGATACCTTTTATGGCTTTTTCATGGACAAACGTCTTTACCGTGATAAAAATAAACATCAAAAGTAAGTTTACAACTGATCGAGTTGGATAACTTTTGCTATCGATTTGTGCCGTAACAATGAAACATTCAGTGTGGAAATACGTCCCGGCTGATAGCTGCTACCTCGACATGGTGGTCGGGCTTGGATATGACGACGACCCAACAACCTATGCTGTCGCAATGCTTGTTCCCTCGAGATCCTACCATTCCAGAAAGGTCTGTTGGATATTGGTAAAACGAAAAGCAGTTACCATTGTAGTATAAAATTACTACACTATGATCGGGGTCCGAGGGCGAAGTAGTACCGCTGGCTGGCTGACTGACTGACTGGGTGTGACAGTAGTAAGGTGTTTCTCTTAGATAACCATCGGTGTCACGCTGATGCTATCTTACTTGAGGAATAAGGGTTTACAAAGTGTCGACCTCAAAAATAGCACAATCCTCCCCGCTGCACGGTCTTCCGGTGCTGACGTTAGAATAACCAAATCTGAGAACAACAATTCTCAAAAGGTTGTGTGTGATAGGCTCCAAGCAAATGTCCCATGAGCTGTGGGGTCACACAAATCTTTTCCTCTTTCAGGAACCTTAGGAAGAAATAGCCTTTCACGGTTTTGGCAACCAGGAAGTGTCGACCGCCCGCACGCTTCCAGTAGTACACAAGACGCAATCAAACATAATATATCCTCCTCAACTCTGCTTTCTGTTTTGCCTTCACCTTGTGGTACTAATATTAAGCCTCCTACACCTTTCCCAGCCTCTCACTCTGCAATCATTGGGCACGATCGAAGTCATCGAAACTTCATTCCTAGTCTTTCAAGACCCCTCCATGGATTTGATGTAGGAGCTTTGACCGTCCGAACTCTACGCCAGATCGGACAGCAAGCACCGCTTATCGGAACTCTGGGATCTGAAGTCATGGATGTATGGTATGCTGTCTGTGAGAGACGTAAAGAAGACCCGAGTGTGGTAATTAAATTGACTTCACCTGGTTATATTAGTGAATCTTCAGGATTCATCTTACGAGTATCATCGGGAGACCTAATGGCTGGATGTCATGGACTGTCTGGTGTTTGCATAGAATTGAGTTGTAGAGTAGAGAGTGGGCTTCTCGACTGGATACTAGTAAACAGGCGTTTGTGTGTTGTTTGACTGAATGGATCTGTGAGAACTATGAAGGGTCGTAAGACCAATTGGTGTCCATTCATAATCTCCGTCTATGCACTGACGATGTAAATGATGAATTCTATGAGGAGCTGTCGACCTCACTACAGAAAGTAAAACGTTCAGATGTACTCATAATGGTATGTGACTTTAACGCAGAAGTAGGGAGGCTTAGCTGAACCAATCGGAAAGGCATGTGAGAGGTATTTACGGAATCCTATGCCAACACACATTGGTGATCGTCTGTTGAGATTCTGTTCGCACATTCACTTGTTTCTGACCAATACTAACTTTAAGCCTGAGAAGAGGCGCTCTATCACCGGGCTTCCGCCAACTTCAAACCAGCGGTGGTCATAGATACGTCACATTGCTATAGGCTATCTTTGAAGAGGACTGGGGAGGACTACCGTTGTTTCTGGAGTACCAGTTTGGACTCCAGTCACCTACTAGTGCAGGCTCGTGTATATCTGCGCCTGATTGGTCGCAGGAGACAGGTGATAGTAACTGGTTTGGAAGATAAGGACGTCAAGTACGTATTTAGGAAGGAGTTAGCTAAGCATTTATCTGAACTTGACAGCAAGGCTCATCCTGAGGAAAGCTGGTGTAATATTAAGTCTGCTGTGGCAACAGCGGTAAATACGGCTGGTGAGATACATCTGAAGGTTAGCAAATGTCATTGGATTTCCTTGACGTCATTCGAATTGACTGATGCAAGAAGACTGATTCTAGTGAAAGTAACTGAACCGTAAGTTGACCAAAAATCTTCACCTTGATTACAAGCAGTGGTGGGTGACGAAAGCGAGAGGGAATAATAAGGCATCAGCATTGGGTAACACTCGGAAACTGTTTAGACTTACTAGGGACGTAGGTTAGAAGAAAACAAAGGTGAGTGAGGCCATAATCGAAAGGGACAGGTGACTAGGACATTAGGGGGAACACTATTCACCGCGGTTAAACTGGCTCATAGCAACGGTTTGGTTACCCAGCATCCAATACGGACGTGAGTGAGATATGTATGTTCTTTCGCCTACACTCTCCAAAGTTTAGAAGGCTTTTTTAAAAGTGGAGCGATGCAAAGCATTAGGACCTGATGTAAATTAGAGGTAGTGCCGTTAGACTGGTCTGCTTCGCTAATAATTCAAGTTTATAATAAGTGAGATAGGTCTTCTTATGACGACCATAGGGGAATTAGTTTGACTAACATCATGTCCAAGATCCTAGGCTCCATGGTTATCCGACGCCTAACTGGAACTCAAGAACAGGCAAGTTTCAAGTCCAAACGAGGGTTCATCGTCCAGGTCTTCACCCTCCAATGGGTTCTGCAACACAGGCATACTGACTGACCAACGGTCGATGCTCGCCATACTTATTAACCTGAAGGCGGCATTTAAATTCTGTCGATCATGAGGTATTGTAGCTGTCTGGTTGGTGTAAGGGAGTACCATGTAAGTATATATTGCTTTACTCGAACCGGGGCATCTGTGTAAGGGCTTATAAAGAATTGTTATCGGAATAGATAAAAACTAATGGTGTCTGTCAGAGATGCCTACTGTCACCTTTCCTGTTTAACTTCGTTATAGACGTACTAATAGACATCACCTTAGGTACACCTGACTTCGTAGGGATTGCTCTTCTATCTGAAGACGATCTGGTTAACTTTTAGTATGCAAGCGGTATTTGCCTGCTAGATGAAAACTGACAAAATGGAGGGTCTTCTCGACGCATGCAGCAGATATCTGAGTGTGTTTGACATGCGTTTCGCATCTATCAAATATAAGACGATCGTGTTCACAGAGTGGTCTGCAACTACTCCTATCGTAGGGATAGGGAGTGAAGTAGTGGAATGTGTCGACCACTTCAC